ATTTTATTCCATTTTGGCAACTCCGAAAATTACTTAATAATTTTCCCATTTTGCTTTTTAGACTGCCCTTTTCTATTATGTATTTGGTCTTGTAAATATATGTTTTACACTTCTTTCTAATGATTTAGAAGGTTAAGGACCATGACCACCTATGACAATAACATTACCATACTCCCCCTATTGGTCATGGGCCAAAGTATAAAACATGCGTCTGTGTGTGTGTAGATTACTGTTCCCATCATTCTCCAGCTGTTCCTCCCGGATCGTCCTCAATTCATATTGTGGGCTTTGGTGCCAAAGTAGAGGCTCATTTCCTTTATGATCCATACTACTGTCATCCCTGAAGCGGGTGCAGTTTATCTTTCATCTGAAAAAGAAATATTAGAACACAAAAATGCCCACTTCCCTGGCTTTTAGCGGCCTGTCAATGTTTTCCAATTGGGGCAAAACATAACTGCATTGACAGACGGTGTGTAACATCAGGGCAGAGGCTGTAGCCAAATACAGACTTAACAAAAATGTATGTTTCTAATTTTATACTCCACAAAATGTGAGTTTACAAACCAAAGTTGTCCTCCGCCCAATGACCGCTCACTGCGGTTGGACCGAATCCCTGTCAGGACAAACAGCAGAGGGAGGGACTCCCAGTACCTTCAGCAAGGTATTCATCTCAGAGTACTTTCTCAGAGCACTCATCCCAGAGTACTCTCACTTTTACACCTGTTCAATAAAGCTTGTTATCTTTGAATCTCTAGTACTTACACCGTACGCTGTTGACAAAAAATAATTATTCCATGATCACATTAAAACATTACAGAAAACTTTTGTTATTCCATGATCCGTTTAGCACTCCTCGTTCACTCCACAACACACTCACAACACCCCACGTTAGTATTGGTCCAGTTTGTTAAGGTCAACGTAGTGTATTTGACATGACGCACAAACATATAACATACACAAACATATAACATACACAAACATATAACATACACAAACATATAACACACAAGGCCTGTACTTTTAACTTTGTTATATTTTTCCATGTCCAATTACAATTGTCTCATGAGTTATTTTATTGTTGCAACTTTCAGAGCCTGCAGAACCAGCAGAGCTTTAAGAGATTTTTCCTACAAGGATCCATTTCAAACTTTAGTGTTTAAACCACGTGGTCTGTACTCGGGCTTGTCACAAACTGTGTCCCCTATATTTTTAATGAGCTCTTGTCACTTAAAAAAAAACTCATGCACGTGCAATAAATGTTTTTCCCTTTTTTTTTTTTTAAAGCCAGTTCGGATTCCTTAAAAAATGTAAATTAGTTTCAAACTTTAATACTTCACCTTTGTTTTACGTTCATGTGGAGAAAAGACCATCGTTTTATGTGTGTGTACTTGCACCAATCATGTCTCAGATAAACTGCCAACAGTTATCAAAGACATAATTGTCCTAATTGTTTCTAATTTAGCTATTTGGAAGAGAAACATGTCATAAAAGATTTCCTAAAATGTCCCTACATCCGTGTTTTCAACCAATGAACAGTGTTGCGTCAATGTGTTATCAGAAATGATCCAATATCACCTTTTAGCCAAAATTTAGAAATGCTTTAAATCATTTTTCAAACTTTAATTGTCTGAACAAACCATTTTGTACAAAATGCAGCGTCCATTAAAAGCTGCAGTTCTCTTTCTAGCACCAGTTTCAACTGTGCATGTGATTGTTCTTAAATGATTAACGAGCCACGGTTCAAAGGTTGAAAACATTGCTTTAAATACCCGTATTACCAAGATCATGCAGTCAAAATCAATAATTCTAAACTTCTCCGCGTCTATAACTTTAAATAATACTAGTTTCAATAATAGAGCTCCTCTACCTTAAATATACTGCTGTTCTAATCTCCTTGTGTCTCATGCTAAAGCAAGAGTCTAATTAATTCTAACGATTGTCTTGTATTCTTTCATGCAGCTAAATGTGGTGTTATGAACGAATGACCTAAATGTGTAAATATGACTTAATATGTCTCTGTGCGTTTGTTGCCTGTCTGTATATTTACCTTCTGTGTGTCTCATTTAGCCCAGCCACGTCTTCCTCAAATGTCCGTTAATGTCTTTCTTTTACTCATGTCGTCTTTCAGTGTCTTTTGTCTCAAAGTGTCCAATGTCTTTGTCTCAATGCCTTTTTTCCTTCTTCTTTAAACAATCACTTTCTTTCTTCTTCTTCTTTCCATAATCACTTTCTTTCTTCTTCTTGCAATGTCTTTTTCTTTCATGTCTTCTTTGTCTCATTTCTGACGCACACCAATGTGTCGTGTCCTTCGCTTGGTTTACACAACGTTCCTCTCCGTGCACATAACTCCACTCGGTTTGTGCAAAAGTCTGGTTCTTCTCCATGAAATGGAGGCCGGAGAGGTCTTCTTCGAGAGTTCCTGTTAGCTGCTGCAGCCGATGCTGCAGTCTTTGCTGCCCCCTGTGGGTGAAACGGGGGAGACGCAGATGGTCCGTGCTGATGGCGCCCGATTGAGGTCTTGTGGCAGACGATTTTGGCCAAATGAGACAGACAGAAGTTTTCCTCAGAAAAAACAGACAAACAAGAAACACAAACAAGTGTGTTAATTACCATACAAAACCAATGATTAATTACAAATCAAAATAAACCTATGAAATAATTAATATTAAACATTTTAAACATTAAATTCTGAAAACCAAATCTGCATTCAACTGCTATCCTGAGCCCTATTTTTCCAAAAGTATACTGCTCTCTTGGAGTATAATGCCTTGGAGATAAAAAATAAAATAATGCCTCTTTATAATCTAACTCAAAGTTCTGTGATCCTATGACTCCATGTCAGTAACATTATCGTGTGTATAAATGTAATTCTCTACAAAAAATGTCTTTCTTCACGAGAGAGAGAGAAAGACAGAGAGAGAGAGAGAGAGAGAGAGAGAGAGAGCGAGAGAGAGCGAGAGAGAAAGGGGAGAGAGAGAGGACAGAACGAGGGAGGGGAGGGGCCTCCCGAACAAAGGAAGCATGCCTCGTTTTTCTCGTGACAAGGTTTTAAATCAGTAGTAAAAGTTTTTCTCACGTCAAACGACACTTTACATTTTATCCTTAAATACGTCAGTAATGGAAAACATTACTATTTGCTTACATGAGTAATAGTCCCAGCAGAATCTCTTTTTTTTTTTTTTTGATTCTCTGTGACTATTAAACATTACATCATAATACAAGAGAAAAACTCCCAGACTGATCTTTTGTCATTTCTCCACATGAAACTCGTATCTACAGCCAAGTGGCTCCTTTTCTTCCTCATTAATCAGATCATTATTATCAGAATCCACATTTTAAATACTCGGCTTTTTGTTTAAATTAATTGTACCATTTTTCCCGCCCCCCGGGGGATATAGAAGGTTTTATTATCCTGTTCTAACCCTAAAGCTGTCCCTATTCCTATTTTCTAGTCCTATTTTCACTATACACTTGTGCCTCTTTTGCACCTTAAAACGGTGTGCCTCTTTCGCACTTATAAATCCTGTGGCTCTGTTCCCGTATATTCTTTTTTAGAGAGAGACCAGCATCCCTCAAGGTTCAAAAACGTCGAAAAACCTGACTATTGTTCTATCGCGTCCGATAGAATCGCCCATCACGGCGGTCTGGCCACGCTGCAGTCATGCTGGGCCGAGATCTCTCTGTCTTCTATTTAAAACAATGTGCAGACTTTAGAAATGGTATCTGCTTACCTGTGTTTTGCAGTAGAGAGAGCCCCAAGACCCAACAGACCCAGTCTATCTATCTGAGCTCATCTTGCGTCTTCTTTCTGTATCAAATCACGTCTCGGGTCACCAAATGTAGCCAATAATTCCCTTTGGCTGGCGTGTCTACAATTTGGTACAGAAATCAGACGAAGATATCCAAGTTTAACATCTGCATTTAATTATCTTTACAATCAGATACAGAATATTCAACAAAAAAGTGCTCCTAAACTAATATGTCCCTCTCCTCTTCCCCTGCGCTAACCTTCCCCCCAGAACTCAAACCAACAGTTTTATCAAGACGTCTGATGACGTCACTTGTGGGCGTCTCCCGAATGTTCTTTTCGGGTGTGCTGGCGTCCCGTGTCCACTGGGAGGCGTCAGAATGCCTTCGGAGAATCTCCCAGTCTGCCTGAGAGAGATTAGCCAGATGGTGTTTTTGGACTTTTGGCCTCGCCAGAGAGACAAGAATGTTTATTCCTGGAGTTAATAATTTGTCCCGTTTTGAAAGTTGGTATCTCTATGACTGATTGTAGTTTCTCCATTTGACCCTCTTTATTCCTGTTTGCAATCCTTGTCCTTGGGGCTTTTCCCCGAGCACATTCTTCAGAGGGCCTATTTTCAAAATCATTAGTATACAACATTTTAATTATGCAACAGTTGGCATGAGTTTAACAAAGAAATCGGTCGGTCCATATTGATAATGATTAAAACTGTTGTGGGTTTTGACGATCACAGCAGAGTTATGACATAGAAGTAGCATGACAACAATTAACCTTTTTCATCCATCAGAAAGATCATGTGTGGTGCTGCTAAATCTGTAGTCTCCAACTTTTTTCTTGAACGATAAAGACAGAGAGCTTTTGCTTCAAGCGGCCCTGGAATTTGTTTTGATATATTGGTGAGACTGAGCCTAATATCAGGTACAGTCAATAATTATCATCACATATTTGTTACAAAATGAGTGCATTTCCAATAATAAATAATGGTAGTGAATAATGCAATCTAAAATATTATGTATGTTATTCCATTAGTTCATTTCTAGATCCTTTGGTGAGCTTCCTGGAAGGGGGTGGCGAGCTACTGGTGGCTGTCACAGATTAATAGTATTCAACAATTCAAACACGAACCATCAAAACAAGTGTGTGGCAGAGACGAGATACAGAAGCTATCCTGAGACAAGTCACACACTATCCCAGCTGTGAGCAGAGCGGAGACCCTGGTTTGTGGCGCGCAGCCGAGGGGAGTGGTGGATCCATGGGTGGTGGTCCGGGGGCTGGTCCTGAACCTTCACAGCCAGAGGAGATGAATGGATCTTGGGGGGACCTTGATACACCGCCGGGCACCAGAGCACCGGAGGACACGGAGCTCAAGACAACACACGCCCACAGGGAGAGATTAATCGAGCCGGTCTTCAAACGCCACAGAGATTTACATACACAAAATGGTGTGTGTGTGTGCGTACAGTGTGTGTGTGTACAGTGTGTGTGTGTACAGTGTGTGTGCGTACAGTGTGTGTGCGTACAGTGTGTGTGTGTACAGTGTGTGTGTGTACAGTATGTGTGAACTACTTCTGAATAGACTGGGACCACTGAGCCGAAACACAGACGGACACTCCTGTACTTTGTCATGTTTTGCCCTCGTTACCTCGAGAATCCACTGCATCTCTTTGTCCTGTTAGTTTTGAGGACTTCACGCTTCAAGCTGTGGAGGAAATATAATCACTGGACGACAAACAATCGCAGAGCAAGTCTTGAGATGCCGAAAGTCAAGCGTAGCCTTGGAAAACAAATACAACAACAACATATTGCCAAGGCTGAGAGCTCTCCGGCTGCCACTGTTGTGACAGCATGTGCTGAAAATACAGTTATTTACAAGAAAACAAGGGACATACTACTTCTTTGCATGTGATAAATATTGAACTATATATTTGGAGACATACAGATCATTCACATCGTAGGAACTGCACGTGTGGGACTTCAGGGGGCTGCTAAGTTGACTGCTAATCACCTCTGTAACAAGGAAAGCCCAAAGAAGAATCCAAAGTAAAGGTAAGGAACATGTAAAACCTCTTTTGTATTAGTTATTTATATTCAAGGCTACTGGAGCAGTGCAAAAGAAAAGCAGATGTCAGAAATGAATCTACAGCTGGATTCTTACAGACGTGTGCACTAGCTAATAGAACTAGCACAAATCATAGCCCTATTATTTTGCTAAAAACCGAATAATCAGCTCATGAGAGTCTTAGTTTTCACAAGTTACAGCCAGACTACATTATGTACCGCCTTCTTTACTCTGGTTAACGTCTTTACAGGATGGTCCAAAAGTTGCTTTTGGTTCTAGATGCTGTCGATGTTGAGGGCAGTTCTTTTGGACCAGTCCAACAAACAAAATATTTGGTTTTGTTTTCAGCCGACAAATGCAAAATGCTGGCTTTTATGAACAGTCTAGTAGGTTCCCCACATCAGGCTCTGACAAGTTTGGGTCTGTACAGTTTCACTGTGGCACCTGGTCTCCCATCACAGTACTCACCAAGCCTGGCCCTGCTTAGCTTCTGATGTCTGACAGGATCATATTTTCCCATTCGGGTGATGCCGCACTACAAATATATGTAACATTTCGAGGTGAAAACTCTCGCACCAACTGACGCCACAGCCGTCATCGCGTTAACAGTTAACCAATCAGATTGGTCGTTTTTCCGGCCTCATTTGGACTGTTCCCGTTTTTTCCATAAAAACCTACCACGTGTTGCTAAGCATTTTTATAAGATACTAATCAAATTAGTCTTGGAAATGTGAGAAAGGAAAGTTTGTTGGATTGACTTCATAATTATATACATTTATCTCAGTCTTGGTGAAAATGGTGTGAAATCCATGAATGTGAAGCCTGTTTAAAGTAATTAATATTCTGGTCCACACATGTTGCTCTGATTAGCATCGCAGCCAAAGATCCTCTGCTTTAACACAACGCTCTCCAATGCCTGAATCCAGGACACGCCACAACACGGTGATGGGAGCCGCTGAACCGGTCCCTGCACTGATTAAAAAGTAAAATGGATTGAGATTTCTTGCTCATTAGTGAAGTTTGTGGAGCTGTGGTTTGCAAATATTGGAATTTAGAAAAGTGAAATTGTGTTTGCAGCACATTTATGGAGAATGCAATTTGACATAATTAAAATAGACTTTTGGGTCAATTTAGAACAATCCTTTTAAAATATAATTCCCTTGGAAAGGCTCAGACAAAGTGGATTCATTAGAATTACACAAAATTATTAACAACTACATTATTTGTCTCATCAACTAATGATATTTAAACAATAAAAAGCAATAATTTGTTCAAACATAACCTCATGAACCAAAAAGTAAATAGTCAAAAACAACATATGTGGCCAAACTTTCAGGTGAAAAGCAGATCCCGTCAGACCTCTGAAGCTAAACAGTGTAGGACCCGGATAATACTGTGATGGGAGACCTCTGGAAACACCCGGTGCCACTGTGGAGCGGCTGGGCCTAAAAGTGACAATATGTAAGATTTTCATGTCAAGTCATCATTAAAGGGCCCTAATCTGTCAAAAGAAAGTAATAAACCATATTAATCCTTCTTTAACTGGTAACTGTAGTTCAGAGATATTAAATTTCTAAATTACTTTTCCAGCCTCTAAATCTTGTTATTGTTTTCATTTCGATGTCCCGCCCTCCACCGTTTCACCAATCAGAAAGTCTGTGATCCGGGCGCCAGAACTCATCGCGTGGAGCTAATCTCACTGGTAAAGTACCATGTGGCGCAGAACTAAAAAAGGTCTCGTTATGATTCTCAAATCATTAACGACAAAACAAGGAATAAAACCAGGATTTCTATCTTTGTGAAAAAGGTGTTGGTTATAGATTTGTTGTTGACTAAACTCTTGTCTATTCAGCTGTTATGGTCCCAGCTGGATTCGTCTGCATATCTGGCAACCTGAGTCAGGGAGAGTGGGAGAGGCTGCAGTACCACTTTTGGCCACATGTTTACACACTGCTCCTTTAAAAGTAGTCATACACACTGCACATTGAATATTGTGTCGCGAGTACTGTTTCTAGCTAAACTCCAGGAGGTGGATTGCATCAGTAACCATGGCTCAGGAGATAAGTGAGTCACAGACAGGAAGATTCTGAAAACAAAAAGGTGGATAGTAATGGTTGTGACTTCATTCGACCACTATTAGCGCAAATAACATACGGTTTGAAAAGAAACTAAAATAACCCGTCTGCAGACGTCTCCGGCCGTGGCCTTTTCCTTTTTCCTGGAAGACGCCAATTACAGCCAAGGCTTCTATTTGCCTTTACAATTTCCTCGTGGCTCTTGCAATAACTCCATGGTGCTTTTCACACAAACATTTGGGATTTCACCCTTCCACCCACTTCCAGCTCGGCCGCCTCCCGGTTCTGTGCCTGGCATATAGATTGGCGTCACATTATACACAGCCTAATGAGGGAGCAGATTAAGACGTTGCCCTCACAAGCCGCGGCTGCATTAGCACGTTGGATTTAAATGGCTGCAGTGTTTGGTCTGAGAGTGATGGAGTGTCCGCTGATTACTCTGCAAAGCCCTCATCCGCAGCCTGCAAGGATTTCTACAAGAGTTTGCATAATATTTTACCTCCGGCGGCTTTCAATGTGACTTTATTTAAGAAGTTATTGTACGGCCATGTGTGATTATAATGGATTCATTTATGCTCAGGGTTAAATCATTATAGAAAGCAATGTCAATGTGGTGCGTATTATGGTTTAAGAATCTGTTTTTGAAAGAACTTATTTTTATCTTTTTGTAATCGCTTATTTTTCCCTGGCCACAAAAAGAAAATTCTATCCAAGCTGCTTTTTGTATATTTGTTTTAGTCCGTCAGAGGGCTACGGTCTCTGGACCAGACGCGTGCACACAGAGACGCTACTTTAGGCAAATAATAATAATCAATCTATCTTAAGAAGTTGTTTAGTCTATGCTCCAATTGCTGCTGTAGTTTTCACTTTAAAGGTCCTATATCAGGCTTTTCTTCATGTTTCACACTCAGTCCTCTGCACATGTGTGATATTAATGTGTGTGATACACCACACAACAATCAAAGCTTGTGAGATTAGAGCCATCTCTTGTATAGAGGTGACGTCACCTCGACTCAAACGAGCTGATCCAGAGTCTGCCCCTCTGCCTGTGAGCCCGCCTCCCCCCCCCTCACCCACCCGCCTCCCCCACCCTCACCCGCCTCCCCCCCCCCCACCCGCCTCCCCCCGCCTCCCCCCGCCCTCACCCTCCTCCCCCCCGCCCTCACCCGCCTCCCCCCGCCCTCACCCGCCTCCCCCGCCTCCCCCCGCCCTCACCCGCCTCCCCCCCGCCCTCACCCGCCCTCACCCGCCTCCCCCCGCCCTCACCCGCCTCCCCCCGCCCTCACCCGCCTCCCCCCGCCTCCCCCCGCCCTCACCCGCCTCCCCCCCCTCCCCCCCGCCCTCACCCGCCCTCACCCGCCTCCCCCCCGCCTCCCCCCCCCCTCACCCGCCTCCCCCCCGCCCTCACCCGCCTCCCCCCCCCCTCACCCCCCCTCACCCGCCTCCCCCCCGCCCCCCCCCCCCCCCCCCCCGCCCTCACCCGCCTCCCCCCCGCCCTCCCCGCCTCCCCCCGCCCTCACCCGCCTCCCCCCCCCCGCCCTCACCCGCCCTCACCCGCCTCCCCCCCCCCCCTCACCCGCCCTCACCCCGCCCTCACCCGCCTCCCCCCGCCCTCACCCGCCTCCCCCCGCCTCCCCCCGCCCTCACCCTCCCCCCCCCGCCCTCACCCGCCTCCCCCCGCCCTCACCCGCCTCCCCCGCCTCCCCCCGCCCTCACCCGCCTCCCCCCCCCCTCACCCGCCCTCACCCGCCTCCCCCACCCTCACCCGCCTCCCCCCCGCCCTCACCCGCCTCCCCCCGCCCTCACCCGCCTCCCCCACCCTCACCCGCCTCCCCCCCGCCCTCACCCCCCTCCCCCCGCCCTCACCCGCCTCCCCCGCCTCCCCCCGCCCTCACCCGCCTCCCCCCCGCCCTCACCCCCCTCCCCCACCCTCACCCGCCTTTTACCGTGGGAATAACGTGTTTCCAGATCAGCCTTTGAGTAAGTCCAGTTCCATTGTCCCTGTAGTTCTGGAACAGTCTCAGTGAAGTGTCGCAGATGAACCGGTTTATAATAGATCCATGAGATGAACAGATGAAAAAAGTCGAGCCGCTTTCTTCCTCTTAGGGCCAAATAGGCAAGGCAAGGCAAGTTTATTCGTATAGCACAATTCATACACAAGGCAACTCAAAGTGCTGAACAAAACAAGAAAGCATTAAAATCATAAATAATCACAGAACATTAAAACAAAAGATAAAAATATAAAATCCCTCAGTTGTAGCACAGCTAAACAGAACTGTCTTTAACCTGGTTTTAAACATAGTCAGAGAGGAGGCCTGTCTCACATCTTCAGGAAGATTGTTCCAGATTTTAGCAGCATGAATCTGAAAAGCAGCCTCCCCATGTTTAGTTCTGACTCTGGGCACTAACAGGAGTCCAGTCCCTGTGCTCCTCAGAGTCCCAGCAGGAGGCCAGTCCCTGTGCTCCTCAGAGTCCCAGGAGGAGTCCAGTCCCTGTGCTCCTCAGAGTCCCAGCAGGAGTCCAGTCCCTGTGCTCCTCAGAGTCCCAGCAGGAGGCCAGTCCCTGTGCTCCTCAGAGTCCCAGCAGGAGTCCAGTCCCTGTGCTCCTCAGAGTCCCAGCAGGAGTCCAGTCCCTGTGCTCCTCAGAGTCCGGGCTGGTTCATATGGGACTAACATGTCACTAATATATTTTGGTGCGAGGCCATGGAGAGACTTGTAACAAGCAGAGCTGTTTTAAAGTCTATTCTCTGAGCCACAAGAAGCCAGTGCAGAGACCTGAGGACTGGACTAATGTGGTCGTACTTCCTGGTTCTAGTCAGGACTAATGTGGTCGTACTTCCTGGTTCTAGTCAGGACTGGAGCTGCTGCATTTTGAATGTACTGCAGCTGTTTTACAGCCTGTTTGGACAGACCTGTGAGCAGGCCATTGCAGTAGTCTAACCTACTGGAGACAAATGCATGGATAAGAATCTCTAAGTCTGCTTTAGACACTATGTTTTTGATCTTGGCAATGTTTTTTAGAAAATATTGTGTCACATATTTACACCCATAACACACAGCATAAAAACAGCAGCTCTATGTGGTGTCCGCGAGACCAGACCACAGACGCTGGACTCGGGAGCCGGAGCCTGTGCGCTCTGATTCGCTGTTTTGATCCGTCAATCACCTCCCGCCGGCTTTTAATTTATTTTTATTATTTTTGACAAAAAACAGCATACTAATTGTGTATTGTTTACCCCGTTTTGACAAAAGTATTTAACAACTATTTTAAATACAAAGCAAACGGGGTCATGCGCGTCATCAGTGTGGTTTTCGTCACTGAAGTGGACCCGAGCGTTTCTGTGCCTCACGCTGGGGAAGGACACAGATTGTTCTCTTACAAAAGATTGACAGAATCAATGAATAAACTACTGTGGGCTTGTGTATGAGGCCAAATAGCATTGTAATCATGTTTAAAGCAGAGAAAAGTCAAAAAACGTGATATGGGCTCTTTAACAGAACATTTATCTTGGACACTGAGACCAAATCTAAACTCGGACAAAACCAGAAAACAACAGACCACGCACAAGGTTGTTCTCATTTTGGTGAAACGTGCTCGTCAAAGACCAGAGAGTTTTTCAAATTTGGGAAAATCCTCCTACATGCCATTATCTTTCCTGGAGTTTCGTTTCACATTTAAACACAACTTCTCAAAAGGCCAAGACCACCTACAGTTTGCAAATGTCACGGCGATGTATTTGGTTTAAGGCTAAAGGAACATCCCGTGGTGTGGTCCCCAATCTCACTCAGATCATTTCAGTGTCCGTGTCTCAAAGACCAAACCTTTTCAATTTCTTTAAAAACATTTGTCCCTCGAATCAGACCAGGACATGTTAGGGTTAATCACTTTCACACTAATACAAAGCATTATTTGACTGTTAGGGCTGAGAGATGATTGGCCGAGTGAGGATGCTTCTGCTGTGTCACTTTTACGTCTGAAAAAGCTGAAAGGATTCGCCCGAGACTATTGTAAGAAGAAGTCAGATGATAGCATTTGATTGTTAAATGTTACTGTCGTTTAAAAGTCAGGGAAACTCAGCACTGAGAAATAAGGTGCATTGGTGCATTTCTCAGACTTAAACTTCTCAAAACTCTCAGTCCAACCTCCACAAAACTGAGTCATGTGTGACATCATCGCAGCAGTTTCTCCTTTGAACAGATTACAAATACTTTTGTTCATGTATCAGTTACTTTTATACAGTTCTCTGCTGTTTTTTAACATCATCATTTGCTTCTGTCCTGTCAGAGTGAAACAGACTTATGACTTCTGAACAGTCTTTCACTATAAAACCAATAGTCCTCATTTCATCGCTTTGGTCACAAACAAAACTGTTACTGGTTAAAAATCAAAATCAGTTAAACTAATTTCATACATTCTCTGAACTCTGAGGTGAGTTTCAGCTTCACTCATGACGAGGTGTGTGTTTTATTGTTTACATTTATCAGAGTTCTACCAAAATGATATTTCTATTATACATGTTTGTGACTGTATTTTTGTTGCACAAGGCTGTAGAATTACAAAGAGCAAATGCAGTAAATATGTGAAAGACATGCAGTACACATACACACACACACACACACACACATACACGTTTTTGTTACCTGGTGGGTCCCTTTGACAGGGCCGTTCAGAATGGGACCCATAGACATAATCTTTTTTTACTGGGACTACTTTAAGTAATACAAAACAGTCAATAGAAACCAAACAACTATTTTAAAGGAATTTTATTTTAGATTTTGTTTTCGAATTGCAGTGATTCTATTTTTGACATAGAATTTAATGCCACTCCATGTCCGATGTCTAAGGTCATCTGGTGAGGCATTAATGCAGGCCAGGCCAGGCAGTGAGACTGCCCAGGGACCTTTCCAGTCTGTATGAAAGGTGTCATGGTCTTCTCCACAGCCTTCACCTCAGATGCAGACCATGGCTTTCTTACACGTTCTAGGGAGAGAAATAAAAATATATTAGCAATATACACTCCCAGGGTTAGGACCAAGCAGCCTGGCTGTAATCCCCCACCTGGTACACTTACCAGAAGGGGCACTGCCACTACCATGGGGTGCATCTGGATGAATGGTTGAAGGTTCTCCGCTTGAAGTTTCTTTTAGCCCGTCCGTTTGTGAGAGGATCTCTACTGCTCTCCCTGTCGCACAGAAAATAAAAATACAAGTGGCCTTTAGGGGAAAAAAATCATACATATTTTAATAATATCAAGAATTACCTTCAGGCTCAATTTGTATCTGGTCGAGGCTCTTTCCTTCGAATTCCGTCACTCTTCCCTGCTCCATGGCCATCAACACTTTGCTGATTTTGGCCAGCTCCAGTGTCCCCTCTGGTAGTCTGTAATATTGTCTGTGGATGCGAATGTCATGGCCGAGGAAGTTGGCAAGTATGTCCATCTCATTCTCTTTCATATTGAGAACTGTAGACATAGTAGCTATGTGCTTTCTAAGTTTGGTTGAGGATAGCATCTGATGCACCGCACCACATTCTTTGGCTACCTGGCGTAGGGAGTCTGATCCCCTGATGTGGGTGTCTGCGCCCGGGCGGGAAAAGAAGTATGGGTTATGGTCAGAGATGGAACAGGCCCTTCTGTTCTCCACCAGCACCTCCATCCAAGCAATCATTTCAGGAGTCAAAAGAACCGGCACTTTCCGACTTCTTTTCCCTTTAATTTCAATGCGTTGAAAATGCTGACACAGCTTTTTCTCAAGTTGGGACAGTCCCAGAGCAATGTCAGAATGGATCCCAGTCTTACTTCTTAAGGTAAAGGCTGTCAGTGGCATCTTTGAAACCTCACCTTCCCTTCTTCGATTGAAAATGATGACCTCACAAAGAGTCAAAACTGCCAGTTTAGACCAATGCTTAGACGTTGGCTCACTTATTAGGGTTTGCACATATTCAGGTCGACATACCTCAATATGTGCATGCATGGCTCTAACGTCCTCAGTCAGAGGGAGCAGGTCCGGAGTGTTCCACTTGGCTTGCCGGAGGGTCTGTAGGGCAGCAGAAGAAACACAGACGTCCCACCTCTTCTCAAAAAGCAGCCGGCTTCGTTGGAGGTTTTTAATAAATAGTTCATCAACACAATGCTCCATTTTTGAGTCACATTCAAGAATATCTGCTAGCTTTCTGAGGCTATGGCCGAGTTTGAGGGCCAAGGATGGAGTCTTGTATTGATTTGTTTCCTCATCATATCCAGCCACAGACCTGACTGCATCAATCACATGGTTAAAGTTGGAAGGAATAAAGAAATCCTTAATTGTTTTCAGTTTCCCTGCGGTTTTTGCTTCGTTAATTAACCTACCGACTTCTCTCATTTTCTGCCTAATGTAATCATGCTTAGTCTTATCATGCCCGTGTTTTAAGTACAGGTGCTCTCCGAGTCTCAGAATCCCCTTTTCTGCTTTGACAACACCCGTGACCTCATCCTGATGCATTGCCGAAATTAAAGACCACAGCTTTTTGCTGATGCCCTCCGGTACAGGCTGGGCTAGGGAGCAGAGGGACTGGACCCTACTTCTACCTGGTTTAGCCTGGGCATCTTTCTGTGAAAGCCGGCACCTGGCCACATGCCTCCACAGCGACTTTCGCTTAAGCAATGCCCCACAGTCTATACAGTGCAAAAACTCACTGGATTTAACTGGGGAATTTGGCTGTTTAGCTGGGACTAAAGTTCCAATGCCGGCCTTTAAAACCTCAAAATTGTGCTCACGGTTTCCACTATTCCTGATCAAATCAAACTGAAGTTTACGTGCTTTAGATTTCACAGGTAGAGCCAATGCTCTGGCTACGTCACTTTCATTTCCATGTTTTCTAGTCAAATGACGGAACATTTTGTGGCAGGACATTGAACAGTAGAGGCAGAAGTGTCTCTTGCTGTAAACTCGCCCCCCATTTTTCTTCTTTTGCAGCTGC